CCTGTTATATAAATATCAAGCAGGACAGGACATTAACACTTCACCAGAGGCACACTGATGATGTTACCTAGCAGGGTGACGAAATGTCTGTATTAAACAAAACACACTAGCTTGGCGAGCAAGTCTACAACCTCATTCACAACCCGAGCTACAAATTTTCTCAAAAACTTTTTGGGATATGATTTTCTAATCAGCTAAAATGTTCTAGAATGTGATTCCTAGGTAGGACCTTTATTGTATTTGGCTTAGCAGAACTCTGTCTGGTACATGAACTGAGAGGCTATACGTACCTGCTGGCTGTTGGAAGTAAATGGTGCCTCAGTGTATAGTCTGGAGACTGAACCTTGTTCTCTGAAAATTACAAAAACTCTTATGACTTTTCCTAATTCCCTCATGGGCCCCATTTTAGCATGTCTTGGAGGGGACCGTAGCATCGTTCTTCAACAACATCATCACCACTACCCGTGTCCCACCAACACTAGAGGGGAGATTTGCTCAGGGTTACTAACCTCGTTGGTAAACACCAATTATAGTTAAATAATAAAATCTTTCTCCTAATATATTGGTTCAGACCGTAAACTGCAAGAAGGGACATCACAAAACATTTGTTGCTGCCTTGGCAGATTTTCACGGCTAACCATCAATTAACAAATAAAGTTTCAATTAAATGTGTAAGGTTCTCCAGATTTTATTAAACAATAACGTTTTGATAAATATACTTGCCTACCAGTGCAAAATTATAGTTTAACAGTAGCTAAAACAACAGAAACTTTGTCAGTTTACTTGGGGCTGATCTTTACGTTTTATTGGCTAAGTGCAAGTTGTGTTGGATTTTTTGGAGTGTTTCTTGCTGCGATGCCTAGTTAGATTTCTCATGATGCCTTACCAAACTCAGCACATTAACCACTTACCCTACTCCTAAGGTTTCTATCACATCTGATTCTAGTGCCATTTTAACACACGCTATTCCTAAAACAATTCGTCACTCACCAGATATCTGCTGAAAGACATGGCGTCCACACCATACTTAACAGGACTCAGTTCACCTGGATGAGAACTAGCATTCGGAAGTTGACCTGCTCAGCTATAGACCAATTTGTAATGTCAGGGATGGCATCATGATTCTCCAAGAGAGACCGACAGATCCTAGTGGATGGGTGGTGAAAAGGAGAGCTATTCTTATCACATAGGACTGACAAGAGAGAAGAGGCCCCTAGAATCTGGCAGCCTAACATCAGATTACTACCTGGGTCAGTACGGTCTCAATGGTCCAGAGGAACGGCCTATATTGCCATAAAAGGCTCAGTGACCTTTTCCGCTCTACCAGGATTGGTGCCACAGTCACCTATCACTCACTCTCTCTGCCTTTGCATACAACTCCTATCAAAGCTCATGGTCTGCCAGTCTCAGTATTGTCTGCACCATCTTTCCTCACCATTCTTATCATCCTCTAACCTCCCACACAACTAACCCTGCTTGTTTTTAATATCTTTCCAATTAGTATAGTTAATATTAAAACAGCAAAATTCATCTTATCTACATTTAATGGCTTATCCATTGACAGGGTGGGTTCCAGTGGTCTGGCGTGGTGGTTTCAGCCTTATGGAGCAGTCTCCTGGTATGGCAGTTTTGTCCCAGTGTTGAGGTCTCATTGGCGGTTCCGGCTTGACATCCAGTGAACGCTTCCGGCCCAGTGATCCGACAGCCTGGCGTGGCATCTTTGTCCAGGTTGGCGGTGTTTTCTTCAGCAGATGCTTTTGGCCCGGCATTCCGATGGCCCGGCGTGGCATTTTTCGTCCAGGGTGGCGGTCTTGCCCTGGTGGCGGTTTTCTTCAGCGGAGGCTTTTCCAGCGGCCCTGCGTGTCAGTTTCGTCCTGGTGTGGTGTTTGCCTGTCCTTTTGATAGGATACATATCCTTGGATATTTACTTCCAGCCCTGATCTTCTTGCAGCAACATCTGTGATGTCCACAAAACTGTACCAACCAACTTCAATCCATGCTACAAGCTCATTTACTTTGCTTTGTATATTGTGCAAATTTAAGTACGACACCCTCAGTCCTGTGTTGACCAACCCCACCCACCTCTCCCTCCCTAAACCCTTCTCATAATTGTCCTCTTCGCTGCTGTGTTTGAAGTTAGAATTCTGACTCTTTTCCGTACTCTGTCCTGTTACTTGTTCTGGAAACTTTAATAAGCTCTCCTGAGCACTCTTCCCCTTTTAACTGGTTTAAAGTCCTTGTGACCTCAATTTGCATGATCAGTTTTTCTACTTTATTCTGAATCAATTGTGCATGAAGGAACGAAGGCTTTAAATTTGTTCTATCGTTAGGTTTCCCTATACTTTTATGGTTCTTTGGTGCAATGTGACATTCACACATTCGGCCCTTCTTTTTATTTTCTGGTAACAATCAACCCCATCACTAACCAGCAATCCTACCTTCTCCTTTACCTTTTATTTTATAATTATCCATGCAACTGAAACCTTCCCCCCTCCCCCAACTGTTCAGTTTAAAGCTCTATCTACAGCCGTACTAATGCAATCCACCAACATTAATTGGTGAAACCAATCAAATGCCATTTTTGTAACTTAAATGATACCTGATTATTGAATCATCTAATATATATTATAATTTTTAAAAAATTAATGAAAGGATTAGTTTTTGACAAATTAAAAAAGGTTTGTTGCTGTGAATTCATTTCTACTTTATATCGTGTAGTAAGTTGCAGTTGGAGATCACTTGTAAAATCTACTTTTCACAAGTTTGGTAACCAGAATGAAATGGAGAAACTGTGCAGGAATGTAATTTTAAAGTCACAGCTGGTTAAGTTGCACAGCTCAAGGTTTGCAAGCCATGATTACCCAGGTCCCAGTCAATATGATGCAGGCAGTATGCAACTTCATGCTCCTTGCTTATTAACCTGATTCTCGTGTGAAGCCAGCACTAACTGCACTGCTAAGTGACTCTATACCTCAGCAGGGAGCCTAAAATCATCAGACATTAGCAGAAGTTAAAGCTTTCCACATGAATCAAAGGCAACTAAAGAGATGAACTGTGGCTGATGCAGATGAGAACAGCACTGGTACAAGCCACACTGGCATGGCACAACATGGCAGCGATGCACTTCAAGGTTGTTGTGCTGAAGGACCTTCCTGAAGCAAGTGAATCCATAGAGAGCCAGGAGACTGTCCGAATATGCACTCAGAAAGCTGTGATGGGAGAGCCGCAAGACGCTGATGGTGAAGAAACCACGTCACTCCATTTATTATTCAGTGTCAGCAACTCATACTGACATTGCACATTATTTCAAAGATAATGCAGAGGTGGGATCCTCATGTGATAAGACACCAGGCACAAGTAGCCTACAGGCAGGTTGCAGTAAATGGTTCCCGAGGGAGGTACTGCAATCAAATTCTGCTTCACCATACTGAGATGAGCAATTTGATGCAGTGGGCTAGTGAAGCACAATGACATGCCAGGTACATTGGTAGAACTGCCAGAAGACATGTCAAAAGTCAAGGGAAGTTGAGGAATCTGACAGCAAGACGTTGCAAATATTTCCACTTTTAGTCCAGAAAGAGCAAGGACAGCTCACAAACTCTTCCTTGCTGTAAACTTGGTAAGGGAATAGTTTCCAATGCTTGGTCCCCCACTGACAGTTTATTCCATCCTCCTCTTCTGACTGGGCTGTGTGCCCTCTTCTCATTGTCCTGCATCATGCTGTATTCTCAGTGAGTACTTGATATTCCACGTCTGAGAGCAATACGTTTGTGCAGCTGCCCCTTTTGCTTCTGTTTGCGCCTTCAACACCTGCCACAGCACCCCCTGTAAAGCTTAGTAACTTTATACAACTCCAGGAAGCACCAAACACTTGTACAATCGTAGCAGAAGCCAGTAGAAATCAATCTACAACTAACTTGAAACAGTTAATCATTCTTTTAAATGTTGCGGGTGGTGGAGGTAACATGATTACGGTGCAGAAATGCCTGATTAGAAGATACCATTAGCTGGTGTGTTCGCTCTGAAATGGCAGTGTTGTTATCATTTTAGAGTTTCAGTCTGACATAATAATTTACTCTGTATACCTCTGGTGGGCATTCACTGTATGTTTCTAATGCACTCACCAATATGGCATAAAAGTGCATGTGTCATGAACATCAGTTTGAACCTTTAAGAAGATAGGCAGCCCTCAGAAATTACTGAGACTTTGCACCAATGTTTTGGCTCGATAATGAATATTACATACAGGTTCAGGAATTCAGAGTACACTTGTGTAAGTGCTAACAACTTTTAGTGCTAGTCCATTAACTAATCTTGCAGGCAACTGACAGTGTTACAGGGATGATCCGAATTGCAGCAAATAACAAGGCATGGATCTGTGTAACTCTGGAATTTACTCAGTCAAGGAGGAAGGGATGGAGTTTCTTTTCATCTGGTCAAGCAATTTTACAGTGTTCAATCAGTAGATAAACAGAAGTAAATTTACTGATGCCAGGTCAAGCTTATTTTTATCACAATTTATCAACCAAAAACTGGATATCAAGTATATTAAAGATACAGGAGAAAGTTTTGACATTTAAATAATTATCTGTTAACACTCCATCTGTTTTCACTCCCAGGAGTGGTAGAAAATAGCAACAGAAGTGTTTTTTGTGGTCGTCTGAACATCACTATACTGTACTAAATGTGAAGCTATTTCTGTGACTTACTCTAGTTTATTCTATTTTACGCCATTAAATTATTAGCATTGGTCAAAAGACATAGAGTTAACTGGAATACAGAAAAAATATACAATTATAACCCAATTATAAAATCCAGACCTTCCTGGGAGAGTCGGTGTGGACTCGATGGGCCGAATGGCCTGCTTTCACACTGTAGGGATTTTATGATTCAATGTTTCATAGGTATAGAAATATTTTTCAGTTAGATAGCTTGCACTAAACTACATAGATTTGCTTTATGCGATGATATACATTAGAAATTATTTTGTTATTTCTTACCTTCAGAAAGTTGAAATGAATGTGAAAACTTTGCCCTTCTCCTTCAACTTGCCAAACCCAAATTTTACCATTGAGTTCAGTTGTGGACAGACTGTACCGTTCAAGAGTGAAGGTACAATGCAGGTTTCTTTGACAGCCATTCCAAATGTGATAAAATGGAATTTCCTAAAAAATGAAGTAAAGCAGGTATTATTCTTTTGAGTCAATCATAGAATCACTACCATGTGGAAACAGGCCATTTGACCCAACAAGCCCACGCTGACTCTCCAAAGAGTATCCCACCCAGACTCAACCCCCTACCCTGTAACCTTGCATTTCCCTTGAATAATCCACCTAAGTTACACATTCCTGGACACCATGGGCAATTTAGCACAGCCATTCCACCGAACCTGCACATCTTTGGACTATGGGAGTAAACCGCAGCACCCGGGGAAAACCCATGCAGACACAGGGAGAATGTGTGGAGTTCGCACAGTCACCCGAAGCTGGAATCAAACCCGGTTCCCTTCCACTGTGAGGCAGCAGTGCTAACCACTGATTCACTGTGCTGCCCCGAGTTCAGTTAGCGTGAGTAACATACAATTAATAATTAGGTAACAATCCAAGGTCAATCTGAGTTCACTTATCAAAACAAGAAATAATACAGGATGGAAGGAGGCCAACTGGTTCAATGAGTCTCTGCCAGGTTTTTTTCCAAAGAAGACTAATATTCTGCTCTCGCTCCATATCTCTGCGACATAGTAAGAACTGCAGATGCTGGAATCAGAGATGACACAGTGTGGAGCTGGAGGAACACAGCAGGTCAGGCAACATCAGAGCAGCAGGAAAGTTGAAGTTTCATGTCGTTGCTTGGCCTGCTGTGTTCCTCCAGCTCCACACTGTGTTATCCATATCTCTATGACTTGTTTTCTCATTAAAATATTTACCAAAAACCCATCTTACAGCTTCTGACAAATCTTGTTGCACCACCCTCTCGATACTTAATGGTGCACCCACTCGAAGGGAGCTTGCTTCAGTGTCTCCAAACCATTTCCACACGGAGGAGACTCTATCACAGAATATTGACAAAAGCTATATTTTTAAACTTGCAAAGACCAAACATTCTAACCGGAACCTGCTCATTTATTCCATTGCGGTTTGTTTTAAGCGGCAGTTAATTTGCTTTTTCTTAAAGGTGTGCTTATGGAATTGAGAGATTCGGCATATATTTCTCATGCTTTTTAAAAGTAGTCGCACTTTAAAGGCTTTGTTTAACAAACAAGATTCAAATGATTGGCAAAAGATGTCATTTTAAATGTTTTAAATAAAATTACATTTAACAGATGAAGGTAATTGATCGTCATGAAATAATAACTTGGTTCAGGCATCACAGCGCAGGAAGATTATTTCTTTTACGCTCACTTCTTGCTTTTTTTTAATGTTGTCACTTTGAAGTCTGACAAACAAGATGCTGAATTCATTTCATTAAGACTGTTTTAATGAAAAGTCTACTCTTTGATATAATTGACATTAAATTACAGTAATTTCCCATTTTATTGCAAGAAAATAGTCTCCCAGTGTAGTCTTAGAAATCACTTCACTAAAAAAAAGCTATTCATTATCATGCAATATGTAGATGCTTCAGTTTAGCAGGTTGCTGCCAAAGAATGCTTTTAACAAATTAGACATTTGTGTTTCAGAGTGCTCTGGTAAAATGGTGTAAAAAATCCAAGTTTGAATCACACACATAACTGTCACTCAAATCATGCTACACTCTTGCAGGAAGCTCACTTTTATCATCTTATCATCACGATCTCACCTCCAGACCCAACAGTCAACTGCACCCAGGAGCCAACACAAGGCACAACCGAGAGTTCCACCAGCTACTCCCCCAGAGCCAGCACCTAATACCTCACTGCCTGCTGCTCTTAGGCTGGATCTCTTCCAGTTCTTCTGATGACTGGCTAACTTATGAACTTAACAGTGACAAGCAGGGGGGAAAAATACCTCATGATTAAAGGTAACAAGGTGTAGAGCTGGATGAACACAGCAGGCCAAGCAGCATCAGATGAGCAGGAAGCCTGACGTTTCGGGCCTAGACCCTTCTTCAGAAATGGGGGAGGGGAAGGGGGTACTGAAATAAATAGGGAGAGAGGGGGAGGCGGATAGAAGATGGATAGACGAGAAGATAGATGGAGAGGAGACAGACAGGTCAAAGAGGCGGGGATGGAGCCAGTAAAGGTGAGTGTAGGTGGGGAGGTAGGGAGGGGATAGGTCAGTCCAGGGAGGACGGACAGGTCAAGGGGGCGGGATGAGGTTAGTAGGTAGGAGATGGGGGTGGGGCTTGAGGTAGGAGGAGGGGATAGGTGGGAGGAAGAACAGGTTAGGGAGGCGGGGATGAGCTGGGCTGGTTTTGGGATGCGCTAGGGGGAGGGGAGATTTTGAAGCTTGTGAAATCCACATTGATACCATTGGGCTGCAGGGTTCTCAAGCGGAATATGAGTTGCTGTTCCTGCAACCTTTGGGTAGTATCGTTGTGGCACTGCAGGACGCCCAGGATGGACATGTCGTCTGTGGAATGGGAGGGGGAGTTGAAATGGTTCGCGACTGGAGGTGCAGTTGTTTAGTGCAAACCGAGTGTAGGTCCATGCGGGTAGGCATGGCCATCCCCTTTGTCTGTAAGAAGTGGGAGGAATTGAAAAGAAGTTGTTGAGGGTGAGGACGAGTTCGGCTAAGCGGATGAGGGTGTCAGTGGAGGGGGACTGGTCGGGCCTGCGTCTCAGGAAGAACCGCTTCTCAGATGTCCTCGTTTTTCAAGGACCGCAACATCCCCCCGTCAGTGGTCGAGAACGCCCTCGACCGTGTCTCCCGCATTTCCCGCAACTCATCCCTCACACCCCGTCCCCGCAATAACAACCAAAACAGAATCCCCCTCGTCCTCACGTACCACCCCACCAACCTCCGGATCCAATGCATCATCCTCCGACACTTCCGCCATCTGCAATCCGATCCCACCACCAAAGACATTTTTCCCTCTCCACCCTTATCTGTTTTCCGGAGTGACCACTCTCTCCTTGACTCCCTTGTCCGCTCCACACTCCTCTCCAGCCCCACCTCACCCGGCACTTTTCCCTGCAACCGCAGGAAGTGCTAGACCTGCCCCTACACCTCCCCCCTCAACCCCATCCCAGGCCCCAAGAAGACTTTCCACATCAAGCAGATGTTCACCTGCACATCTGCTAATGTGGTATACTGCATCCACTGTTCCCGCTGTGGCCTCCTCTACATCGGGGAAACCAAGCAGAGGCTTTGGGACCACTTTGCAGAACACCTACGCTCGGTTTGCACTAAACAACTGCACCTCGCAGTCGCGAACCATTTCAATTCCCCCTCCCATTCTGCAGACGACATGTCCATCCTGGGCCTCCTGCAGTGCCACAACGATGTTACCCGAAGGTTGCAGGAACAGCAACTCATATTCCGCTTGGGAACCTTGCAGCCCAATGGCATCAATGTGGACTTCACAAGCTTCAAAATCTCCCCTCCCTCTACCGCATTCCAAAACCAGCCCAGCTCGTCCCCGCCTCCTTAACCTGTCCTTCCTCCCACCTATCCCCTCCTCCCACCTCAAGCCGCACCCCCATCTCCTACCTACTAACCTCATCCCGCCCCCTTGACCTGTCCGTCCTCCCTGGACTGACCTATATCCTCCCTAGCTCCCTACCTACACTCACCTTTATTGGCTCCATCCCCGCCTCTTTGACCTGTCTGTCTCCTCTCCACCTATCTTCTCCTCTATCCATCTTCTATCCGCCTCCCCCTCTCTCCCTATTTATTTCAGAACCCCCTTCCCCTCCCCCATTTCTGAAGAAGGGTCTAGGCCCGAAACGTCAGGCTTCCTGCTCCTCTGATGCTGCTTGGCCTGCTGTGTTCATCCAGCTCTACACCTTGTTATCTCACATTCTCCAGCATCTGCAGTTCCTACTATCTGTAATTAAAGGAATAGTTTCTCAACACTGCCGTAGATTCCATTTATGGGGACATCTTTTCTCTGATTGGTTGCCCTGCAATTGAATTTTCATGTGTTTTGGTGACTTGTTGGAGCGAATTTGCTTTCCAACCCCATGCATTTCAAGGCCTGGTGGATGTACCTACACCATACAGAAATAAGGATTTATTTTTATTCACTTGCCAGCATTTCTTGCCTTGAGTTACCTTTCAGAAGGTAGGGGTGAGCTGCCTCATTGAGCCACTTCCTCAGTCTATGAGTAATAAATGCTTTGCTACATCCTGAGAATGAATAATTTCTTTTAAAATAATGAAATGACACAGATATGCTCTGATGTAAGTTCTGTCTGTACTAAAACAACAGCAGGTGCAATTCATAGATTTTACCAAACAATGCCAGTTTTCTCCTTCAATCTTAATTACATTATTTGTATTTATATATTGCTCCAAGAGTTGGTCAAAAACTCACTACGCTGCAGTAAATTATATATTGAAATAAGCTCCAAGGCTTGTCTTCAATATAAATTAATCAGTAGACAAATCCCTATGCCTTGTACTAGTAGGGCTTGTCAGAAGGCATAATTTTCTTCAATGCATATTATTATTAATGTATAACACAGGGACTCAACATTGAATATTTACATGATAAATCCTGCATTCTCATCATTTCCTTCAGTATGCTTTCCAAGAATTTCAAGTGGCTTTGCTAATCAGTCGCCAAGTAGGTATTTTCTAATCAAGTTGTTCAGTGATGTTATTGCACATCCCTAGAGCAGGTGAGTTTTGAACTGGGGCCTCCTGACCCAGAGGTAGGGGCATTACTACTGTGCCACAAGAGCTCAAATATACTTTGATGACATAGTTTACCCAACCGTTATTTTATTTGTCATAAATGTCAAAAATCTTAATTGTCTTTTGCTTGTAGGTGTTACTATGAGGTTAATGTTTGTTAATCCATGGAGTGCAATGTGACTCAATCAATATTATGTGGCAGCAGACTGATCCTGAACTCCACCTTTCCTGAAGTTAGAGGGCAGATCGCGAAGTGAGCAGGGTGGCAGTTGGATAGACTGGCAGGTGAGCAGCATGGCAGTTGAGTCATAGGACATTCGAGAGCAATTGGGAGGGGAGTTGCCAGGTTGGAGCTACTTGGCTGCTATTGATTCTGATTGGTAACTTGGCCTTTGTTGGATGTAATAATTCACCTGTTTCATGTTTCTCCCCTATCTACAGCCAATCTTCACCTTCCTTAACATATTGGGCTGATTTTTACACTCCCTGCCAGACATTTTGAACACAGGAAGGCTCATGATTAGGTGGTCTTCCTGCCTGCCTGAAATTTTAACAGGGGGTGGGGACCAGGTTGGATAGTCGACCTGTCCTGGGCCCTCGGAGTCCTTAAATGGTACAACAGAAGCATGCTGTCCCCACAATTACCCCTCTCCTTCCACCCTTTCTCGGTCTTCTGAACCAAGACCCCAATCCTAAATTTAAGCCCTTTCATCACCATTCACCACCTTTGTTATCACTCACCAGCTTTGATATGAACCTCAACTCTGGGCTTATTTCAGTCTACACACCTCAACGTTGGGGATTTATTGTGATTCCAGTAGTGGCTCCCAGTTTCACTGCTGGGATTACAGTGCCACAGGACAGTGTGAATGGTCCTTTCTAAGGCAGGATTTCCTCCATAGAAAGGTGTTGAAGTCTTGACTTAAAGCAATTGACACTAGTCCTCGGTTAAATTACAGCAGCACAGAGGTCAGGATCGTGGTTGGGTCCTTGACCTCTTAGCGGGGGGAAGGAGGGCACCATGACACCCATAAAATATAGCTTACTTTTTGTTTCTTCCACCCATATTTTGTCTCTTTTAGTACATTCTTCTATTACTGGATTAGTTCCTAACATTCCCTACTTTTCTCACCCATTAGTAATCCCAGTTTTTTGGCTGTCCTCAATATGTTCCCTTCTCCCCTAGCCCTTCTTGGCTTTTTCCGGGTTGAAACCTATCTCCTTCGTCAGATCATCATATCACCAACCCTCTGGTAATCTTAGCTGGGACTTCCTCATGGAACCCCTTTTGCCAAGTTCCTCTTCTTCTGTGTTCCTAACCACAACATCAATTTAATAAAGCAGATGTTCAGAGCCTTGGATGGAAGAAACAAGGGTTCTCCTACCTAGCACTAAGGAAACATTCAAACATCTATTATCACAGCTACCCAGCCCTATCCCCAAAAAACTCCCAACCACCAACTAGTGAGCAACAACTGAAATCTGAATTGGAAATTGCCCTCCTCTCTCAAAGGTAGTTTTAAGTTTTGGACCGTATTGCAAAAACTCATTCTCCCTTTCCAATTTTGGAGAAAGCTTTATTCCCAGTATTGTTTATCATCTCCTTGTAAAATCTGTTGGTTGTTCTTTGCTCCATTCTAGGCTGGTGTTGCTTTTTCCCACCTGTTGTCATGATACATCCTGCCCCACCACATTCCTCCATCTCCAAGAGCAAAGATTATAATGAGTATAATGGGTGCTCACACAAAAAATAGAAGTATTCTACCATATCACTCAAAAACATGCTTCTGGTTCCGTCCTCATCTCTATGATTTGCCCTTTCTTTAGCTATCTTCCCCTTTCCCTGCCCATTGACGTTATCCTTCTATCCTTTATGATGCATCTTCCACTCCCTTTTTCATTCTTCTCACTAGACTCCCTAAATCTTGACGGCATTATAGCCCATGCTTAGCTCATAAGGCTATTCTTCTACTCACCAAGCCCAACTCTTCACATTTGGCTTTCTCATCCTTCCTACATTTTCATGTTCACTTTCAACCTCGGCTATTGTCTCTTCCTTTTTCTCCCATTGCAACTGACTCTTTCCCCACTCTGCCATCTTGGGATAATTATCACGCTGTCCATTAGCATACTCGATTTGAATAATGCATTTGGCCTGGCCTAATCACTTGCATGTGCCATGGGAGATCAGCCTACAAATTAAAATTTGAATTACTAATTATCATTTTAATGAGAATGGAGGAAGGAGGACACAGGCTGCCATTATATTCGATAATGGTTGACCTGTATTTTAACTCCATCTACTGTCATGATTGTCTACTCCTTAATATTCCCAATCAACACAGTTATGAAAGGCTTAATAATATTGCTTCAGCAGTGTTTTTGTGGAAGAGATATCTGCTTTTTCACTACCTTCACAGTGGAAAAATGCTTCCTCAAGTCACCTCTGGATGGCCCAACTCTAATCTTCAAATGATATCTCCTTGTTCTGGTCTCCACCAGCAGAGTAGCTAGTTTTCCTCCATCTATGAACAGCTTGGCCACTTTAATTATCTCAGTTGGATCACCCCTTTATCTTTCATACTTAGGAAATGCAAGTCTGGGGTGAGATTTTTGTCAAAAAGAAGAGAAGCTTTTAGTTGAGAAATGAAATCCAAACACCCTTGCATGATTTTCATTCCAGAGTAGGAGCTGGATAGAAGGGCTTTCTGCCTCTGGAGGAAGTTTGGAGGTTACCATAGAGGCGGGTAAATACCAAGGCAGGCTGGTTCTATGAGACGCTGGTCCAATTGTATAAAAGACTGTTGTACCTTCTAGTCCACATCCTTCATCTCTTCCTTTCCTCCTAATTCACCCTCATGTCACTTCCAAGACCCTTCGTATGTTGCATACCTTGTCAATTACACCTCATATCCTCCAAGCTCTCTCATACCTCTATGTCACCTCCACAGGCACTCACCCAGTCTGGTCAAACTCAGGAGATGAAATACCTCCAAGAATCAAAGAGCACTCTCATTCATATGCATGATACAGAGAAAAAAAACTCCTTTATGAAACTCATAAAAATGTTAAGGTCTCTCTGGTAATCAATCTGTTGTTAAACAAATTTTGCTACTGTTCACAACAAAAACAACTATTCATTTAATAGCTCTTAAAACTATTAAAATACACACTCAGATCCCAATGAGATATGTAGGTTTTGAGTCTAAGCACATATCATCCAACCTCTGCAATAACAGACCATAGGATAATCAAAAATGAGGTCTTACATCTCCTCAGTAAAATGTGTGGCTCTTGTGGGATTAGGCATTTGGAAAACAGTGAATATGAGGTCTGTTCGAACATGGCACCATTTCAAAATGTTCTTCAGAGTCTGGGTTTACCATTTATGTGATTCACAGCCTGTTCTCAGCCCATTCCTAACCAATTTCCTACACGTTAGTAAACTGCCTCAAATGCCGCACACTTCCATTTATCCTTACAGTTTCTTGTGTGGTGCTTCTTTGAATGCTTAAAGAAAACTAATGAAAACTATTACCAGTGCTTGGAAAACGAAAGTGAGCTCATTTTAAATATTACATGCTTATTATATGGTAATCCACGTACTGGGAGACCAAAGTGGGTTGGGGAATGTTCTGAAATAACATTAATTTGCTTCCCTAATTATGACATTATGATGCTTCAAGAAATGCCTGTGTGACTGGGGAATGTCTGCGGATAAACATTTATGCAGCACAAAGCAAATGACAAAGGCTTATTGCAGTGTGGTTAGGTTAGGTGGAGATCAATATTTTGTAGTTCAGAACACACTAAAAAAATTGGATAAAAATGAATTAAGCAGGGTTCTCTTTACATGGAACAGTCTTCCGTTTGACAGTCTTCCAAATTGATCTTGATATTTAAGCCTATGTCTGAGAATAAAGTAATCACTGTGGTACTGTGTGCTGTCTCCAATTGGAAAGAGCAGAGAGGTGAAGAGAGGATGGACAAAGGGTGGTGAACTGAAAAAGACCCATTGCTGCTGTTTCAATGTTGCCTTGACCATTGAATGGAAAACAGTTGCTGATGAATATGATTCAAGGGCAGAACCAAGAGTGAGAGTGAGAAAGAGAGAGAAATTACATTGTGGAAGCTGCTTTGGAAAGTCCACGAGACTGCACTTGATGCCAGATTTGTGCAGGAAGTCAGACAAGAGCTTACAAATACCTGAGGCATATCTTTATTGTATCAACTATTTAAAGTGAAATGCACCTCTTTATTTGAAATATCATTCAACTGCTCGTTAATCTTTGAATTGTGTTATTTTTATTTGTTTTGTCACAGTAAAAGTTTTTAAACTCCTGTTCATCGGCTTTGTGGGAATTCCTTTCATTTAAAGTTATCTGTTTCTACCTGGATTGTAACGACTGACCATTCCAATCTGGCTTTACCTGATAGCTGTCCAGCAGCTTACTTGTCCAGAGAGATTTTTGGATATCATGTATAGAAAGTCGTAAGTTATGATAGCTGTCTTTAAAGTGAAGAACCTTCGGCTCATCTAACAGTTGCCCTCCAAGGTGTTTCTCCAGTTGCATCACTTCCTGCATAGGAAAACATTAATTAAGAATAGAATTGGTGAAACATATTAAATATACAGAGTTGAAATCACAGCAATCTGAACAAGTAGTTCACCAGCAGTCAGTTGATTTTTGCTCATTAAATTTCGACAGCAATTTGCTTGCAATTTGATTCCATCTCATTGCCAAATTCTACTACATATTGAGAGGCACCTGCAAAGATGTTCAGACACCAAATGGCCAACTCACACCTTGAATTGTAATTCCATAATGCACTGCACATTCTCCTTTAATAGGTACTTGAATAAAACTTGAAATATAACATTCAAAGCTATGAGCCAACTGCTGGAAAGTGGGATTTCGGGTAGCCTTTCTCAGTGCAGATTTGATGGGCAAAAGGGCCACTTCTGTTCTGTATGATTCGAGATGAAATGTCAAAACATCTAACCATTCACCATCACTAGTCCAAGAATCTCTTTACCTTAATACAGTCCCCTTGCTCTTTCCCAACTTCATAACCAGCAGCTGTCTTTACTCACATTGACCTTCACTTAAAACAAGACTTAATAGACTGGAGCAAGTTATAAAGATAGCAAGGGCTTAGGCCATGGAGAAATTTGATGAGAATTTGGAAAGAAAGGTGGTACTGGAGCAAGAATGTCCAACGTTCTTGGACCAAACAAGCTCAAACATGTTAGATTTGGAGGGCAGAGTTTTGGATTGGCACAAATTTATTTATTATTTAGTTTAAGGAAATTTCTGTGTGATATACTATTGAGTGCTACAAAAGCAATCTGACAATTTAGAGACAGTGGAGGGTCTGAGGGAGGAGATGATAAGGTAAAGCATGATGTATCTGTAGACACCAACGCTAAGCTTTTGAATTATATCAGACAGGCAGGGTATGATTACATTTTAGTGAAAGAGAGAGAGAGAGAGAGAGGGAGGGACGGATGGAAGGAGAGGGAGCGAGGGGCAGGGGGTCGGGGGGGGCGGTGGGAGAAGGGAAAGAGGTGGAGAAGGGGAAGAGAGATGGAGAGATGGCGGTGGGCGGCGGGAGAGAGGCGGGGAGTAGAGACACCGAGGGGAGGGAGAGAGACGGGGGGGGGGGGGGAGAGGGGGGGAGGGGGAAGAAAGATAGATAGATTGGGGGGAGACAGTGAGGGTGGGGAGAAGAGAGATAGAGAGGGGGGAAGACAGGGAGAGGGTGAGAGACAGGGGAAGGGTGGGAGTGACAGAGAGAGACAGACATAGAGAGAGAGACAGACAGACACAGTCGGTGGGGGAGGAGACAGATGGGGGAGAGAGAGAGAGAGACAGTGTGATGAGGGGGAGAGACGGGGGAGAGAGGGGGGGGGGGGGTAGAGGGGTAAGAGATGGGGGGGAGAGATGTAGACGGGGAGAAATGGGGGAGACAGTGAGAGAGAGAGAGAGAGAGAGAGGACAGAGAGAGAGGGGGGAGATAAAGAGAGAGAGGGGAGAGAGAGAGAGTGAGAGAGGTGGAGGGAGACAGAAGGAAGAGAGACAGAAGGGAGAGAGGGGTTGGGAAAGAGGGAGTGGGAGAGAGAGATAGGGGGAGAGAGAGATAGGGGGAGGGAGAGAGAGAGGGATAGAGGGAAGATAGAGGGGAGAGAAAGAGAGCTTGTGGGAGAGACAGTGTGTGTGGGAAGGAGATAAAGAGGGAGATAAGGGAAGAGAGAGAAAGAGATAGAGAGAGAGAGAAACACAAACAGAGCTAATTTCTGTCAGTATGGGAGCAAAGCAAAGTCCTGCTGCATATCTCCACAGCATAAAACACAACAACTGGTAATAGGAATAATGGAGAATAGATTAAATATACAAGCTTGTGAACTTTCGTTTCTATGGCAAAAATATTCCTCCATGCTATTAGATTGATGGATTTTGGAATTCGATATTTACTTTATCTCTACATGGATGGACAGACTGGATCTATCAGCAATCCACTAGAAGGCGGTACTTGTACATTGGCTCTGAGCAGAAACCAGTGAGTATGCAAGCAGCTTACATAAAATATATTTGAAATTTTTGTAGGTGCTTGTAAAAAATACTTCGAGCCAAAGAAAATCTGATGCCTGAATGATATACATCCCAGAGTTGTCAGGAACTAGTAAGTCCATTAAAGAACATATGACAGTGGTGTGGAAACTGGCATCTACATGTAAATTTAGGCACATTAACTAAGCAATTAATTTGTGGTCAATTAATTGAAAAAGTCTTCAATTCCATTAATTAGGGAATTATACCATATCAAAGATTTGACCTTGGAAAAAGCCACAACCTTGGTAGCCCCAATCCAATCTCTCAATTACATTTGACAAGATTACAGAGAAGTGCACCCTTGGGCTCAGGAATGTTGATGCAATAATGCCCAACTAACACAAATGCAGGAGCTACAATTAAGGAAACTTAGAAGACTCATCAAAATGTGCTATTTATGGTCAGACACTCTCAAAAAAATGGCCAATTTGTGGAATTGATCAACATTGACAACTTCATGTCAGCTTGAGGGAGATTGTATAACTCATGTTTAAAGTGAAACCATTTTGCAGAGGTCTGCAGGGCAAAGGAAGTGGAACTCATCAGTTCAACATGTAGTGGAAGCTCACCCTAAGAGTAAAGCGCAAAATTAATGTACTAATATGCATTGAAAAACACCAGATCATTTTAAGGATTACTCAGTTGAGATCATAGGAGTCTCACTGTCACCTCTTATCGACATTGCTATATCAAGTGACAGAATCTACTATCGGCATTTTTTGCAACTGTCTCTCACTTTTGCATCTGACGATCTTCAAGCTAAATTGTTGCTGCTTGAGGAACAATTGCAGTTTTGACACATAACAGATTCAGGGCCAAAGTAGCAATAAACATGGATTCAAACATGAAACCCTTGCAATGGCAGACATTAACTGGATCAATGGCAAAACAAAACACACTGATATCTTTATTTACAGAATATGGTGAATTGTCAATGTAGGCCAATTGCACTAAATTTCAGATGGTAGCCATTTGCAATACATGCTGATGATTTGCAGGAGCTGAAACAACTTGAAATAAGTGATAAGAGAGAAAGTCGAATCTGGTAAAAACATTAAATCCACAACAAGATTGCATGATGCAAAAGTAGTAAAATTAGACCAGATGACAACCTTAAAGTGGCCAACAAAGCAACAATTTAACAACTACCAGCAATATTTCGTCATTCCACAGTCGTCACAAAGTTTGACATGTGATGCAGTTATCACCTGACACCATTAGAGCAAAACCAATATCCTGCCACTTTTGTTTCATTCCTTCAAAATATCTATGGACTAAATTCAGCACCTAGTGCATTCCAGAAAATCGTTTCTTCAATTTTGTCTCATGTCGAGAGAACCTATTTGACGATGTTGTTGTTCAGGGAAGGTTTATTGAGTGGTGGTTACTTGACTCTCAAAACACAATTTGACAGTGAACAAGGATAAAATCACACATTCACAATATCCAACATTTACGTTTAATGGCTAGAATAAAAGCAACTGAAGTCATGAACAAGCCATTCATGTGCTTCTGACCCCTCTTATGAAAGACTTGGTATTGTTCCTCAGTGCCGCCAACTTGTATCACAAACTTGCTCCGAAGTTCACAAAGGGCACAGGATCTCTTCAGAACATAAATGAACAGCAACACAGAATGGGAACGGATACTTGCATAGCAAGAAGGGCTTGACACGTTAAAAAGCAAAGACAGCATCACCTCATAGATTTCTGTATATGGGTTGAAATGCATGTCTGAACACATCGGTCAGGAAGTGTGGTTGGAGCTGTACTCTCACAGTACATTGAAGAAAGCAAGTAATCAATTGCTTATGCATCTTTCTTACTGTCCAAAACTGAATGCAAATATTTTCCTGCAAAATGAGAAGCATTAGCCAGCAATTGTATTTGTGTAGATTGGTTCATTTATCTCTACAGTGAAAAGTTCACACGCTGCATCAAGCACCAGTACTAACTATATTGTCAGCCATGTCAAGATTTGGTCATTGGTATCTACAGAGTTACAAATATCAGAACAATGTCAAGGTCATAGATTATGCAGAAACACAAACATTTTTCAAAAAGATCTCAGCACTGTCAGAGAACATTATATCTCAAAGACAATATTGGTGCTTAGTGAAAATTCACACATTAAACCAATGTTCCCTCAATTTTGTTTTTCCTCCTTGTCCCTAATGAGTTCTGTGCATGGCAACCACCCTGAAATCAGAAATCAATGCTGGGAAAAGAGTCAGCATCGCATCGTACTGAGTGGAACAGCTGACTCTAAAAAGTAGCTTGACATATATATATGTTTTGCCATTTAAAATGGCTAAAGTTTAGCTTCACAAAGGGTAAATAAATATTCAATGGTTCAGTGTTTGTATATTGCTGTCTGTTGAGTACTTACTTGACAGTTAAGGCACTAGTACAATAATAATGGGGAAGTTTAATATGCAGGTGCACTAGGAAAATCAGATGGGTAGCAAATCCCAAGAAAAGGAATTCATGGAATGTCTGCAAGATTTTTCTTTAGAGCAGCTTGTGATTGAGCACACCAGGGAACAGGCAATTCTGGATTTGCCAATGTGTAAATGAGGTAGACTTGATTAGGAAGCTGAAGCTGAAGGAACACTTAAGAAGCAAAGAACACAATATGATAGAATTCACCCTGCAGTTGGAGAGAGAGAAACTGGAATCAGATATAAGGGTGTTGCAATTGAGTAAAGGTTACTACAAAGAAATGAGGGAGGAGCTGGCCAGAGTTGATTGGAAGGGAAGCCTATCAGGGATGAGGATGGAGCAGCAATGGCAGAGATTTGTGGGGGTAATTCAGTAGGCACAGCAGAATTTCATCCCAAGGAAGAAGAAACATATTAAAGGGAGAACGGAGCAACAATGGTGGACAAGGGAAGTGAGGGACAGCATAAAAGCAAAAGAGAAAGCATATAGTGCGGTGCAGAGTAATAGAAGTCAAAGGATTGGGAA